TCTCTCATCTTGACTCTGGATGTCATATGACCAGTGCCTTACCTTCCTTCCGCCATGTCTTCCTTCCCTGCAGACAGACCGTATCCCCTTAAACAGTGAGCTGAAATAGGCTCTTCCTCCCATAAGTTACCTTTCTGTCAGGACATCTTGTTGCAGCAATGTGGTGATATTTTATTTGTGCTGAAATGTGGTGATATTTTATGGAGATCAGAGGAAATAGCAAGCCATGTTAAATAAACAAAGAAGTCAAGCAATGGTAGCACACGCTCTTAATCCTATCACTTGGCAGGCAGGATCTCTGTGTGTTCAAGGACACACTGGGGAACCGAGCCAAGCGTGGTGACACACTCCTTTAATCCCAGTACCAACCATAGAGTTCTGGAGGCCTATATAGACAGTAAGTAACAGACCTGGCCAGGAAGAGGAAGTGATGTAGCTAGACAGAGAGCAAATCAGATAACAGAACAGCAAGGCATATAAGCCTAGGTAGACAGGAAGTCACTCTCATTTGGAAACTGCGGAGCTGGTGAGGTAAGGTTGGCTGGTGGCTTTCCCTATTTCCCTGATCTCTCTAAGGTTTTCACCCCTATATTTGGCTCCATGTTTTTTATTTAATAAGACCATTTAGAAAATTTGTCTACACAGCAATGAGGAAAGTAACTGATAGTAGTAGGGTGGCTGACCGAAGTGGGAGAGAGAGCAGACTGCTTTAACAGGACTTCACACAGCGTGAGCAGGGGCTCAGGCCCCTCCCCCCGCCCCAGTGGTGGGGAATTGTGGTACCTTTTATAAATTGGGAGAAAGTATGTAGACCATAATATTTGCTATCTTAACCCTTTGCAAGTGTATTATAGTTTATTGGCGTTTAAGTACATCCTCATTATTGTGCTCTGTTTGCTACAAACCGTCTCCAGAACATTTCCATTATTCTGAGTGGAGGCTGCATATGCATTAGACAATACCGTTTCATTCCTCCAGTCAAGGATAGCTTTTATTCAACTTTTTTTTTTTTATGCAGGAGGAGTTGCATGGTGCTCATGTTAGGCCCACTTCTCCTGGGATGCTTTCAAGGTTCAAGGATGCTGGAGCATGAATTACATTTCATTTCTTCTTAGGACTGAATGATATTCTATTGTATTTGTGTATCACAGTTGTCTTTATCCATTCACCCAGTGGGAAATATTGGGCTACTTCTCTGTCTTCACATTTGTGAGTAATGCTGCTATGGATAGTGGTGAAAATATCTTTCTGAGTCCTTAGTTTCAGTCTTTGGGGGTATGTACCCAGAAGTAAGGTTATTGTATCAAATGGTAATTTTATTTTTAAAAAGATTTATTTCATTTTTAAGTGTGTGTGTGTGTGTGTGTGTGTGTGTGTGTGTGTGTGTGTGTGTGTGTGCAGGTGCCCACACAGACCAAAAGGGAGTGTCAGTTCTCCCTGAAGTTGTAAAATGCCTGACATGGGTGTTGGGAACCAACCTTGGGTCCTCTGTGAGAGCAGAATATGCTGTTATCCTCTGAGCCATGTCTTCTGCCCTAATTCTTTACCTTCTTTAGGAAGCCTATGGTCTTCCACAGCATCAACATCACTTTGGATTTCCATCAACAAGACAGGAAGCTCCTAGTTTCTCTACTCCTTGCTAATAGATCTTGAGATAATGGCCATCCTAATGTTGGAAAATTTAAACATTTAAACAGAAAAAAGACTTGTGGTATCCAAGAAGCCCACAATTTCCTTTAGGAAACCCTGTTCCTGCTCTTCAGTTTACTTGGATTTGGTGAAGTCAGAGGCAATGGGCCTGCAAAGCATTTCTTGCCCGAGTCACGAAAATTACAGGTAACAGGTGAACCAAGAGGTTCCACACCTCAGGAGCCAGGCTTTTTACACTGGAGTTGTTAAACTTCAGTCCTGCATACATGGAGCTGCTGGTGGCCATCTGGAGAACCACAGGAGAGCCATCTTGAGAAAGAATCAACACTCATCCCACAGGATGACTGAGCTTCGCAAGGAAGACAGACACACACTCACATCTCAATCTTCTGAGCCCTTGACTTTCTGTTCCAGGTTTTGAAAACCAGTAAATTTTCTCTTTTGCATAAGTCAGTTAGGCACTTGTTTCTCACAGCAGTAATCATTGCCCTGAAACACACAGATAGAGGGAGAAAGATTTACATCTTAAGATCATTTCTTTGATGAGTCTGTAAAAGGAAGATGTGAGATGGTAAGTCTAGAGGCAGAGATCTAATTAGGAATCTACTACAGCAAACAGGGAGATGAGACTGTCAGCAAGGACACAGAGAAGGGCATGGGATCGGATGTTTACTAGAACTAGGGTTTTTACAACTGGGGCATGACGGGGGCTCAAGAAGCAGCCAGGGGTCACCAACTCTATGACCAGTGACATCACTGAATAAATAAGCAATATGCAGGTTTCGTGGTGAGGTGGGCCATTCTGAGCATGTTGAATTGATGTGCCTGTGCAAGAGCAGATAGGCACAGCAGAAATGGGAGCTGATGAATTCCATCATGTGAAAGGTCCGAGCTGTGGGTCTGAGAGGGCCTGCCTGCTTTTCAGAGCCATGGGGTAGGTTAGACATCCCAGGGAGACTGTGCAATGTAAAGGGGCAGAGACTGAGCTTGGAACTCTGGGAAAGCGAGGAAAAGGGAGTCCACCCAAGGGCAGAGGAGAAGCAGACCAGATGTTGCCAGGAGAATGTATGCAAGCATGCTGGCACAGTGGAGAGGCTGAGCATGTGGGCTGTGCAGGGCACCTCTGAGGCTCTAAGCAGGTTCTGTGTTAGAAGTGGTTCTTGTGGGCTTTGGAAGCGGGAGGGGCTCTGTGTGCTATCTTGAAAAGAGTAAGAGCTTTACCTCAGCCGCCACCTCTACCCATGGTGCTAGTGTGATGCTGCACAAGGTGAGACTTACCCTCCCAATCTATACAATGCAGATAGTATCTCAATGCTATAGGATCATTGTGGGATGTCAGGGAAGTATTGATGAAACCCTAAGTCTACAGCCTGCCACACAAAGATGCTCAATGAAGGCCAGTCTCTTTCTTGCCAGGCTCTCCCTATCAGTGCTGGCCACTGACCACTTCTGTCTATTGTTCTGAGTCTGAAGAGAGGAAGGTGACCTTCAAGTGTGTGGAATCATTAAGCCTCAGCTGGCTTTGAATTCATTATGTAGCCCAGACTGGCCTTGAACTCCTGATCCTTCTGCCTTCATCTCCCAAGTGTTGGAATTGCAGGAGTGTGCTACCACACCTATTCCCTGAATAGTATTTCATGTCTCCCTCTTGTTTCTATAACAATTGCCATAAAAGATGGAATGAGGAGTAAGCATGAAGGAGTGTGCAGAGAAGAGGGTTTGGGGACCATGCTGATAGAAGGAGAGACTCTAGCTCCCAGGACTGAGGGGTCTCTGACTTCCCAGGGATGGGCTGACACCTAACCATTGCAGATAGAACCAATGCTGCCACACTGTGGGCCACCGATGGCCTTTGAAGTAGAATCTTGTTTAAGCCTGAAGGTTATTCAGGAAAGTAGAGCCCTTGGAGGGAAACTGTAGAGTGGGAAGGAGCTTTGCTCATGGTAGGGAGGATTTCAGGGGAGGGTGATTTGTAGCTGGAGAGTTTTCTCTCTGGGTCCTGCCAAACCCCAGCAATCTGACAGCCCACTTATAAAATAAACACACAGATGCTTATATTATTTAAACTGTTTGACCTAATGGCTCAGGCTTCTAACTATCTAGTTCTTACATCTTAAATGAATCCATTTCTATAAATCTATACCTTGCCACGTGGCTTGTGGCTTGCCAGCATCTTCACATGCTGCTGGTCATGGCGACAGCTGGCAGTGACTCCTCCCACCTTCCTGTTCTCTCCATTCTCCTCTCTGTTAGTCCCGCCTATACTTCCTGCCTGGCTACTGACCAATCAGTGTTTTATTTATTGACCAATCAGAGTAACACATTTGACATACAGACCATCCCACAACAGTGATTCTTTTGAATAGGAAGGTTTTTGTAGGGATTGCTATTTTCTTTTTCCATTTTTCATGTGTGGGCATGTGTGTGTACATGTACACACATGTGTTTGCAAGTGCGTGTAGAGGCCCCGGCTTGTTGCTGGGAATCATTCTTAATTGCTCTTCCACCCTGTTCATTGAGACAGAGTCTCCCCATCAAACCCAGAGTTCACACATAGAGTTGGCCTTGCTAGGCTTGCGCTGGGGGTTCCCCATTTCCACCGGAGGCTAGAATTACAGCAGTCATTCCTGTGGGTTCCTGAGGATCCCAACTCCAGTCCTCACACATATCTTGCAAATACTTTAATCACTAGCCATCTCCTCAGCTCTGGGGCTTGCTATTTTCATAGGCAACGTATGTCCTGAAGCTGGCAAACTGGAGGGACACATGTCTTCCCACACACTATGTGGAGCACGCCGAGGAATCTGGTAGTCATAGTAGGGGCAAGTTCTCCTCACAACAGTGCCATTGGAAGAGGCTTTCTGAGGTTTACCTCACAGAAAGGGCAGAGGCAATATAAGTTT